CCCAACTCATAAACACTATGCCAATGTTTGTAGGATATTAAAATCCTATTTTAGAAACTACCAAAGAAAAGCTTACAATTTCAGACTCTATTTTAAAAAGAAATGCCAAACATAGCACACACGTTTACTTCACCATAAAAATAAGACAAACAAAAATGATACGTCTTGAAAGTACCAAAAAAAATCTTTAATGCAGAATGGCAGTCACTGGTTCAAAAGAATTAAAATTATTTTCCTAGTTAGTGTCCTATTATACCTACTTATAAGGTATAAAAACTAATATACCTAATTTATATAAATGTATACCTAAGATACAGATATAAATCCAATTCCTGGACTTATCTACATGCCCTGAATTTGATACCACCAATAATGTATGAAAATTTATGGGTAAGCCACATTGAAAACTATAGTAATTACTTACCCAAAAAAAAGCATTCTACAATGTGGATAGTATCTCAAAAATCTACCTTTACAATGGGAATTTTCTTATGTGCAGAAAGATGTCTCTAGTTCTAAGTTTATTTTAGAAGTTTAAATACCAAGAATCAAGTAAAGTTGTGCTTCACTTGACATTGTATTGCTACTAACTTCAGTTAAAAATATCAGATTTTCATAACAGGAGAATTCGTATTTTATGAATGACATAAACTGCAGCCCAGAAATATTCTGACTTGCTCAAGTATAGGCAAGCTAACTTTCTGCAAGGCTGACTATAACCCATATCTCCTGATACAACCATTTTACTTCAATAGCAAAATTTCTAGTAAGTGGGATAGATTAAGAAAAATAAATACTAGTACATATATTAAAAAAAAATTTAAACTATATCATTTTAACAAAACATGAATTTAACTCCAAAATAAAATGTCTTATAAGAAGTGTAACTGCAATGCCCCACACCTGGTAAAAATGCTAAAATATTTTACCTACAGATCTCATAAATACGCACTCACCATTAAGATTATAACTGGAAAGCCAGGCTTCAATAAGGGTACTAGTTTCACTATTCAAACTGAGAAAGAACTAAAAAATAGAGGTGATTTTTTTTCCCCCTGCAAGTTTATAAAGTTTGCCAAGGTTGGCACCACAGAGAAATTAAGAATCTTGATTAAAAACCTTAAAAAAAAAAGAGCATTGCTTTAAAATAAGCATTCTTAAAATATATAAAATCTGGTAAAATATGCCCTAGAGCCAAAAATAATTCCACTCCCTACCAAATTCCATTTACTTTGTTAATAATGTATTACATCTCAAGTTGATGAGTCATGTTTTGACAATGTCTTAGGCAGAAATAGCCCTTAAATTATAAGCATTCTTTTTGTCAAATCACATTTTAAATATATTAATGTGATTACTCCTTTAAGTACGTAAACTTTTAAAACTACTTAAAATTCCACTTTCCTGCTTGGTCAGTCACTGTGATAATATCTGCAGTCTGACTACAAAGGCTGACTGATGCCCACTTTTAAACTCACAAGTACTTTGAGGTGGTCTAAAAATTTTTATCTGCCCTATGAATTTTCATTTTAAAATATTGCTTAATTTATCAGTAAATGTAGCAAAAAAGAGAATCACTTTCAGTTAAATAGACAATACTGAAATCACACTCCTGCCAAGTACTGAACAAAACTTTGAGTCACAGAATAAAGTAGGACATTTCAGAATACTCAAGAAGAGGCTTACTGCCTGATCATGTAGACATAGAATTTCAAGACCTATTAAGCAAAAATGTAATTAAACAGTTTATGTTCCAGAATGTTTGAATCTCAATAAAACAACCAAATAGCATTAAGCCAAACACTAACAAACTTAAGACATAGTTTGGACATGAAAGCACATCAAGTGCCTTCTATCTAAGCAGACAGAGCAAATATGCTAAAGGAACAGAAAATGAATCAAAGAATTGTGAATGAAGCCTATTAAGAATTCTTAACTCTCTTGAGTATACCAACATGACTACTCTGGTAAGAAGGTAAAAACATTCCAGCCAAGAAAAAAAAAAAGCCCACTTCTGGGAAAGTAGGTAATTTTGATAAGTTAATGCATAAATTAATTTTGATAATTTGATAAAATTAATGTATCTGTATAAAGTCACTCTTTATTGCCTCTTAAGTTTAATAGACACTAAAGGTATAAAATAACTTTGTTCATATTTGAGAGAAACAACTCCCCCCAAAAACAAAAATCAAGGTTGATATCCTTATTTTTGCTGGCAAAGAGTATTCCAACAAGAACTAGGCATTCCCATAATTTGGTCAGGCTTAAAAAAAAACAACACATCATCAAGAGTCTAGGAGAACAGTTACTCAGTGACCAAGGACTGCAGAGTTTTAAGGCTATGTTTTCTAAGGTCAGTTTTTCAGATAGGAAGACTAAAATCTTGTCAAATATTTAGTCCTAAAATAATTTCAGTAATTGCATTGGTTTCAAACTCCATCCATTCACTTTTGGTTAATATTGGATGGAACTGTCCTACATCACTACATGAATACTAATGAAGTGTGAAAACGAATACAATGTCCCATCTCCATTATATTCTACTAGACCTAAGTATCCTTGCTTATTTTAATAGTTGTGAGTACTCAACAACCTATATGAAATCATAAGAGAAGTAGACCCCCCAAAGTTAAGAAAAACACTCAAATTCACCTGAGAGAAGACATTTCAGCTGAAAGCTCTTAAATCAGTTCAGAAGCCCCATGGTCAAAATTACCCTGGTAGTTTTAACTACCTTAAAACAGCAGCTGCAAATGCGTTACAGAAAATCAATACATGGCAGATTTCAAAAGGCCTGGTTTTCCCCTAGTGTGGCTGCAGTAAATGCCCAACACGCATATTCACACAATAACAACTTAAAACAGTTGAGAATCTTTTTTTGCAAATCTAGCCCCACTAATGCATCTTGTTTTTTCCATTCCGGAAATCTAGTGACACAGGTCCACTCTTGAAAGCCCGCCTTTAGCAATCACTGAGATACTCACACCGAAAACCCACAAAAATTAAGAAACCGCTATCTTTCAAGCTACACATACATACCACCGTAGAAAACAGAAAAACTTTCACTTGCTAAGTTCCATCCCCCAGTAAATACGCGGGGATAAAAATCAAAACTCTTCAATGGGTTCCAATAATAATGGCTTTCCATTAAGCAAAATTCACCACGCAAGAATTCGCATGTCTAAGGCCCGGTGGAAATTTCTGGATTAGGGATGTTTCCGTCTTTTCCCCTGCAGCAGACACTAGATTGGGGAAGATGCGCCGCTACCCCAACCATCACCAGGCATCTGAATCCCTCCAACGACCAACCTAGCTCTGCGTTTTAAGAGAGAAAGAGGATCGTAAAGAAACGCGAGCGGGGAAAACATGAATGTCCTGCCACGCTACCGCGGCCGGCGAATAGGCTGCTCC